AAAAATAGACACCTGAATATACAAACAACATTGCCATAAATTACATGAGATCTACATTCTTGTACCGTAACTGATGAAACTCTGAACTTTGCTGAGTAGAATCCAAATTAAGCCCACACAATTTAGGTCAGTGGATGTTTTTGAGAAATAGTAAAACCAACACAAAAGTGACATGTTTTCTCTCTGAGTCTATCTCTTTCCCCCAGTCACTTGCTCCTTCTACCTTAATTAAATTAGAACAGACAGAAGAACATCTTAAGAGTTCAGACTTGTATGTTAACTTGGTTTTTGGATGTTACAGATACTATGGTGGGTAAGGTGCTTGCCTTGCATGCAGACAGCCTGTATTTGATTCCCAGCCTCCATATGGTCCCCCAAGCCCTCCAGGAATGAACCCCAAATGCAAGCCAGGAGTAAGCCCAGGGCATAGATGGGTGATAATCAAAATTTTAAAAAGGAACAGTTTATCAAAATTAACCGGGTGAAATAGAAAGTTATTCTCCTTTATTTCCATTTCCTTCTGCTTCTTTGTCCTCTAAAATCTCCTTATTCTTTCTTTAGGATAAGGATGTGATATTTACCAAGTTGCTGGCATGTTTAACTCATATCCCATAAGTTATTGGTGAGTTAACTCAGATAGCCTTTATGCCAAGATGAATACAACTATGAAAAACTATAAAACCTCACTCAGCTGCCATCAAGATATTCTCAACAAATTACATATTTCAATGATATTTTAAAAGCTTATTATTCTCATAACCACTGATAAGAATATCAAAAATATATTAGTTAAATGAAAAACAAAAAAGGAAAATTGAAACCTTGGAAGAACATTGTCATGGAGTTTTTAGTAATGAGCTCTCATTTTAAACCACATCCAAGTCTACTCTTAGCTTCAATCCCCATTATTTGGAAGCTCAACAGCTCCCTGGTTAAAGAAAAAAAGAATAAAATGAAGCAAAACTAGCAAACATTTTAGTCAATTTAAGTTTATGGAACAGGATACTGGAGCTTCAATGGGTGTATCCTCTTGCCCCAGGCAACAAATCCAGGCATGTTGAAGAGTTTTTGATTTAAGAGAACTTTCCACTCCATCATGTCAAGTCTTCTGCTAGAGTACCAGCTCTGTCTTCTCCAACTTATCTCACAAGTACTAGAAGCCTGAGGGTGACGTCCCCATGATCTCTGCCAACAGTGTTCAGGCTTAGAATCCACTGGAGAAAGATATTTAAAGGGATTTGGATGAAAGTAACTAGGATTACTGGGTGTCCTGCATTTCTGTAACTTCCTGACTCCCTGAAAGAGAGTGGACAACTAAGAGCCAGCAACTGCCTTCTCTGACCTTTGTTTGCTCAGAACCTCTAAAGGTTTTGTAAGCATTTAAATCCTTATATTAAATCCCTTCCTGTTTGTATGCTTAGAATAGTTTCTGTCCTTCTTACCAAACCTTCATGAGGACGCTCATAAACCATTCTACTCCTTACTCTGAGAGTATTTTCTGTCCTATCCAAATTTCTTTATAGAAACAACCTCCATTAACAAATGTTCCATTATTAAACTTCTCCCTTACAAATGGAATTATCTCATGGAAGGTCATTAAAGTTTTATCTGCATCCCTGGCATACAGTAGATGCTTAGCAAAGTTGACTCACAGTATCAAGCTGTTGCACTTTTGAACATTTCTATCCTGATCATTAACTCCTGTAATCTACAATTAGTTTCCTTAAAGAAATGAAACACCAAATAACATCACTGTGGTCAGAATGGCACTAAGCATTGAAATTCCAGAGTCTTGAGAGATTAGAGGGTTGGGCCAGTACATGATAAAGTCAAAGAAATGTCTTGTCTGGAAGCTCCTAAAATATCCCTACTTGATTCCTTAAAGGAAATCTTGCTATTGCTTAAAATTTGATTTTAGGTAACAAAAGGATCCTAAAGCTTTTATTAAATGTCCTTGTTTAGATCTACACATCAGCTCTCAGCCCCTACATCTGTTTTCTTTCTCCCCCAACTATGCTTATACTTCACAGATCTTTCATTGCTTTACTGGACTTATAATGAAATCTAATGATTTAAGGATTTTTGTTATTATTTAAGGATAATTATCAGAGAAATTTATTTATGATATACATAAGCTTCATTCACCATTCTGCTGTACCCATCACAAATATATGATTCTGTACACATGCTGTACTCATGTCCTTTAATGAGGAATATAATAGTAGAGAGCCCAAAATGATCCGGGATTTTATTTCAAAGTGATCAGATTGGGAAAGGTTGGTAGGTATTGTGTGGTTTATCTTTTCTGAACAGGTAAGTTGTAGCTGTATGTAATTTTCAGATAGGACTGACAGCCTCAAGATGTTTCTGTGTATAAGTGAAGAGATGAGGACTTAAGTGGTCATGCTAAGTGCTGGCCATCTCCTGAATGTCTATGAGAATAAATAACTTGATGGCCAAGAAAATGCCCCACTATCAGCTGATGAATAACTCATGACATTAAAAAATCTTCACGTACTCTGAAACAGAATTCAATTAGATTTCTCTTCAGTAAATTGGGATGATTTTTTGAACAAGAAATCAAATCAAATAATAACAAAACATCATGTAGCATACACGCTAAAGTTCTGGATTGAGATTCATAATTGTTACAGAGTAAGGAATTCAGATGTTCCTTAATGAAATGTTCTAGATCTGAATTCTGCATCCAAAGCACCTGATTTGGGGCACTCTAATCTCTACCCTCAGAAAGATGTGATATAACCAATAGTCTTTTAAACAAATGACCTTGTGGTTTAAGCAGGATAAATGCTATAACAAAGTAAAATCTATCACAGAAGAAAAAAGCATCAAGATATATCTTTGAAATCAGAAATTGAATTTCCACATTCAAAAATAAGAAGGTCATATGGACTATTGATGAACTTATTATCAATCTCTTAATGAAATAAATTATTTGTCCCATTTTGCAGATGAAGAAATGTATAAAGACATGTGTGAACTCTGTGACTTACCCAAAGGACTTATCCATAGTAAGCATCAGCTCTGAGTTTTGAATCTAGCCAGTTAAGCTGGAGTATAATTCAACCACCATGTTAGAGCTTAAATGACTGATTGGTAGAACCTCAAAGGAAGAGATCTTCACATTTCTTTCTTTAATTTTAAAGAGGAAATCAGATTCCTACTGTGTTGTAGAACTCAAAAAACACTTCTCTTTGTTTTCAAACAATATTCATTCATTGTCAAATTAATCATTTTGCCTTTAATGTTTCCCAAAAGACATTTCAAAAAAATTTAAGCCCAGCCTACTACAACCTTCCAGGATTTTACCTTGTCTGCTCTAAAACGAAGATGAAACCTGAGTGACAGGATGCCAACCGGTCTTGGAGGTTAGGTATAGCACCTTGACGGATCATTTTTGGTATCTGGGAAGCAGAACTGTGCCAGGAAGCCACTTAACAGAACAGCAGATGAAGAACTCAGAGAAAAATAGCCCAGGGGACTTTATTGTGGTCATTTAAGAATCAGGAATTTGATACTGAGTAATATTCTCTCTGCTATTACTGAAACACCCAGGATTAGAAGCCTCAAATTTAGAAATTTGATCTTTATGCTACTCTATTTATGCACCTTCAATTTCAAAATAGGATTTCTTCAAATAACCCCTCATCCCCCAAAATGCAAAGATTATGGTGATTCTCCCTTGCTCTTTGGTGAGGACTAACCCCAAAACCAAACCATTTTTCCCTGGCCAAAGCCCTTCTGACAGAGTTTTAAAGAAAATAAGATCCACCTCTGCCTTCTGAAAGAAAATGCATGCAATTGCTCTCAGAATGCTTTTAACTGCTCCTAGGAGCAAGATGTTACAGAAGTAATCTGTATTACTTAAATCTTTGAGAATTCAGTGACCTCCTATCTTAATCCTCTTTGCTTTGGTGGTGCTGACATAGCCAGTCATTGATAAGCTCAGAACAGCATTTTAGCAACTGATGAAAGCTGAATCTGATGATATGTGGGAAAAAAAAAAGTCACCGGTTCCTAATACTTTTACCCTGTTTCTGTTTTTATCTTTAATATTCTCCCTTCTAACACACACAGAAAGGGTGATAATGAATATGAGAAATCTATAGTAGACACAACTCAAAAAAATAAAGCAAACACACGTGATTGAAGAAGGATAACCTGAGCAATTGAGCAGAATAAGAAGGAAAGGGAATTTAAGAATAGAAAAATAAAAAGAAAGGAAAAGGAAATAAGAAAGGAGAGGGATGGAGAAGGGAGAGAAGACAAGAGGGAGGAGAAAGAAATGGAGGACAAGAGGAGGAGGAGCTAAACGGGAAAAGGAAGTGAAAGGGGGAGAGGAAAGAGAATAGAAGGGGAGACAGAAGGGAAAGGAAGGGAAGGGAAGAGGCTAGGGGAAGAAGAGAATAAAAGAGAAGGGGAAAGAGAAGGTGGGGAAGAACAGGGGAAGGAGAAGAGGAGAAGGGAATGGGAAATTCTTGCTACCAGAACCGTGATTTAGGCTAAAGAGGAAAATGTATTTTATATGTGGAATGTATCAGTTCTGTGATTGCCAGGGTCCTCTTAATTAATTCTATTAAATTTTTAAAAATAACAGATTTTAAAAGACAGGATCCAGTAAGAAACACACATTGAAGTTCTCAGAACTGAAACTAAATTCAGATGAATTTTCCCAACAAACTCATTACATTTTCATTTGATGTATTCTACAAAAATAATACAATTATGGATCTTCCCTAGAAAGACCTTAAATGGGAGACATGAATTTGGAGTCAGCTCAATCAAACTGAACCACTCTTCCTTCCCCTTGAAGGAGCCAGGCTCTGGTGATGGTATAGAACAAGGTAGACAACTAAATTTTTCCTGAATTTCTGACAAGCCCTAGAACAAAAATACACAGTGAACACAACTTACCCCTGGCCTTTAGGTTTTCTGGTATTTACCAGCTCTGGTCAGGAAAATTTGGAAATGGGACTTACCGCATTAAAATTTGGGAAGAGGTTGACTGCAGCAGCAGTGTCAAGAGGAAAGGGAAGAAATGGTTTAATATCCAGCGATGGTTGCAAAGGAGGAGCTGGTGGACGAACCAGGGCTGGGAGAGCAGGGCTCTGGCATGTACCACCTGCAGAGAGGAGAGCAAAGGAGCAATCAGGGACACAGTGCACACAAAAACACCAAGGTTTTCTTCGAGAACTTTAAAAGTTCAGCTTTGAGGACCACTGGAAAACTCAAGCATCAGAGTGCACTGACCTCACCTAGGATCTAGGCAAGGAGCATATTTGCCATTAGGCAGGGAGAGCAAATAGTCTTTCCATTTTCATCTTTGGATTATAACTAACTGGTTATTAAAGTAGCAGCTAACATTGCTAACACTTCATACTACTCAGTTGACCTCTCTTTTCATGCCTAGTGCTCAAGATTGAGTCATCAACACATCTACAATCAAGATAACGTGACTGAAAAATCTGCCCAATGTATCTCCATCCTTCTCGGACCAATTTTGGCTCACAGTACGCATGTAGTCTAAGTTGTTATTTCATGAAACTGCTGTTTTCCTCCAAAGCCAAACTCTGGCAGACATGGTGGCATGAGCTTGGCATGGAAAAGAAACTTAGCCACAAATACAGGCAGCCATATTTGACTGCCCTGGCAACTGGAAAATTAAAATCAAGAAACCTGTCAACAAGTGGAGAAATATCAAAGCTGTTCAGCACCTCTATGGTTCTGAGCATTTAATCACACCTGCCTCCTTCCCAATGATGAGTAGGGAGAATTTAGAAGGCACATTGTGAAATAATATGCCAACAATGGCACCCTTTTGCAAATGGGCAGAAAACCAATAATTTGCAAGGTAAAACACATTTCTGACCCTATTCTAAGACTCCAGTGTACCGCAAAGTTGGAAGAGCAGAAGTCCACCTCTCCCTTTTGTCCTGTATTCACAATATTGGTAACATTCCAAAACATCAATTTGCTGTTAATTAAAGGCTGCTTGGATCCTAGGAAACTGTTAAAATATGCCAGCCTTCTTCTAATCTGAGAGTCAAGCAACAGACTGTATAAACCTGCTGGTGAGAATCCAAAAAGCATTAAGAAAACAAAATGCAGAGGGAATTTTTCCTTCTTCACAGAAAAGAATCCTAAAAGAAAAGAGAATTCCTGTGAATGTCTCTTACTTGCCTGACATTTTGTTTTTGAAACAAAACAGAGTCTGACCCCAAATAACTTACCTTAACAAATCTCACAGAGATCCCAAATGAGTTACCTTTACAAATCAACTCTATCCAACTGCACAGAGACCATCTTACTGCCCTCAAAATAGTTACCTGAACACCAAGTGAACATTCTAAAAATGATTCCCCAAAGGTTAGCCCAACTCTGCTGGATCAGAGGATCTGATAACAAGGTATGTAACTTAATACCCATAACAGAAACCAACAGCACGGGATTTAATTAGACATACACTAAAAACATTAGCTTGCCTTGCTTCCAGGCATAAAATCAGCTGGAGGCAAATTAACAAAACTAGCATTTTCCCCCATTCTATTCACCTCTCTCTAGAAACATTCCTCAAAAATAGCAAGGTCAACAATAGGAAGTTTGAATCCAAAAATCAATTAAAGTAAAAAGTAGGAAAAACAGATCACAGATCACAGATCATCCTGTTATTCGTCGATTGCCTCGAGCAGGCCCCAGTAACGTCTCCTTCATCCTAGCCCTGAGATTATATTCAAGGCTCTTTAGGAGAATGAGACCCATCATTGTTACTGGTATTTGGCATATTGGGTACGACACAGGGAGTTTGCCAGACTCTACCGTGTGGGCAGGTTACATTCGGGAGCCTGCCAGTTTGTCGAAGTAGGAATGAGATGTCATAATAAAATATAATAAAACAAGTAAGGAAATAAAGGGAAGATTCTAAAACAGAGAAAAAAAGCAAAATATTGCAACTATATTCACCTGAGTGTACCATTAAACTTATTTTATTGTCCACCAGGTATATATTATTTTGAGTGTATAAAGAGTGAATGCACTCTTTCTTAAAGAGTGCATTCATAAAATTTAGCTGGTTTATGTTATATATTTATAATTGCTAAAATCTTTTGCAAAACATCAGAAAACTAAAATTAATTTTCATTTGGTGTGCCTTTAGAAAACTTTAAAATCTATTATGGTTGAAATAAGTAGTGTGACATGCCCTACAAATTAGTGAACTTTGGCAAATAATTTGAAATTATCTGTGACATATATGATCCTTTATAAAAAAAGGTATTCACACATATTCAGCACTTTGTTTGATATAAAAAATCTCAGAAATTTGATATGAATCCACATATCAAGCAAGGAACACAAAAATATATCAATAAACTGTTTAGTTTTTTTATATTGCTTCAACCTAAGTATTCTACTCTTAAACTTACGAGTATGCTGAAATTTGATTTGCAATTTAGCAAGACCATATTCTGTAATTATTTTGCATAAATGTTTCCCAATGATTCAGAATATTCAAAGACCTTAATGGATAGTTGAAACTTATTTTTCAACTCCAGGACAATGAGGGGCACACATAACACTATTTTTTTCCTAGAAAGATACTGGCAATGAGACATTTGGTGGTAATTATTGTATGGAGCAGACATATGGACCCCTTAGTTCCCCAGGATATTCCAAAATGGCCATAGGTACAAATTGTGGTAATAGAGGATCACAGAAAGAGGCTGGGGAGGGGCAAATGGTAGGGCAGGGGGGCACAAAAAAGAGACTATGGGGCCAAATGGTAAGACAGGAAACCATAAGAAGGAAACAAGGTCACAGAAGGGATATAGTTTAAAATTGCTGGAAAACACTTCTTATTTAGAGAATACAGATGTTGAATTATAATGTTATACCTGAACTTTATGCACAATTTTACAATATTATTATCTCAATAACAATTTATTACCATGCTGCATTGCTTTCAAGAACCCAGCCGTCTGCCTGGATAACATGGTACCCCAGCACCATCAGAGTCCACAGACCCATACAATCATTCTACACATTCATACAGAACATACCTATGTGAATAGATATGTTCTTTATTTTACTTACTACAAAATTATCTTGACAAAGGTACATATCAAAATAAATAATACATTTTTAATTATACTATAGATATAAGGTAAAGGTAAAGGCCCTCCCGTTGATCGTCGATTTGCTCGAGCAGGCCCAGTAACGTCTCCATTGGAGACTTTGTTGTTACTGTGTTTGGCATATCGAATACTCTCGGTAGCTTGCCGGGCTCTCCGAGAGGGGCGGAGGAATCGAACTCGGGTCGGCCATGTTGGCCACTTGTAAGGCAAACGCCCTACCGCTGTGCTATCGCTCCAGCCCAAAGAGAGTGCCCGTGTTTTTTCATTACTCACCATGGAGAATGTTGTGTTATTCATGGAACTGATAATTTTTGGAAAAACTAATTCTTCTTCGTTTTTAAATTTTATTTTCATAAAATTTTTCACAATAATCTGTTACATTTAATATTCCAATACCAGTTCCACAACCATTACACCTAACCTCAATCGTATTTGAGTGTTTTCACCCAACCTCCAAACCCTTCTCCCAAAGGAGGACCTAAGTAATTTATTTTTTATTGTTATGAATAATCCACTAAAAATAATCCAAAATTTTTCCTTGGAGTAAAGTGTGTGAAGATTGTTTTATTTCACCCTGGAGTCATTAAGCTCTTATATAACCCATTACTAACATGTTGTCAAAGGTTGAGCTTTGCATAAATATATATATATACATATATATGTATATATATATATATATTTTCTCTCCCCGAGATGGGTTGCCTTCTACTTTACACCCTATCAAATGTGTTGTGCTACTCTTTGTACATCAGTGGTGTGGAATATGAAATTTTTAGCTGTGCATCCAGGAATAGAGGTTAATTTGATTTTTTAATATTTTAACTGGATAATGACTTTGGGGTCCGGAAACATCTCTTTGGCATATTATTCTGTGTTACTCTCTTCTGAGAGAGCTATCTGGGAGTCTCTGGATCATGGCCATTAATGAGCTTATAAGGTGCCAGAGGCAGTTCCTGGGAGTGATTGTTAGGTTACATAGGGAGATAGTGGGAGGTCACGCACTCCTGACTCCGTGTAAACCTGGAGATTTTGATGACAGGCCCTGCATGCCTAGGTATTTCAGCAGATTTGCTCAAGGGTGAGGCTCATCTGAGCCTGTGGAGATTGGCTCGGAGCATGGTGGTGACCTAGTTCTGGAGAATTTTTGGCTGCCAGAGCTCTGTTGGGGTGGGGAAGGGCACCACCTGCCTCCACTCCTGGCCCCTCCAGGTTGCCCCGATTAGACAGCCTGGTGTGGTGTCTGGAGGCATCTCTATGGCATATTGTTCTGTGTTGCTCTCCTCCAAGAGATTTATTTAGGAGTCTTTGGATTATGGCAGTTAATCAGTCTATATGAGTCCAGAGGCAGTTCCTTGGCATGACTGCAAAGTTATGGGAAACACAGGGAAATAGGGGAGGTTGTTCATTCCTGACTCAGTGCAAACCTGGAGATTTCAAAACTGGTTATTTTTTATTTTATTTTATTTATTTAAGGTAAATATTTATTGGCTTTTCGGGTCACACCCAGTGATGCTTAGGGCTGACTCCTGACTCTGTACTCAGGACACTCCTGGTGGTGCTCAGGGGACCATATGGGAAGCTGGGAATCAAACCCAGATTGGCTGTGTGCAAGGCAAAAGCCCTACCTGCTGTACTATTGTTCCAGCCCCAAAACTGGTTATTTTTAAGGAAAGTGTATTAAATCCTCTGCATTGGTAGGAATAGAAAAACCAGAAATTCATGTGCTTTGGATATGAAATTCTGCTTGAATTTAGTACCATATTGTTCATAGTCTATACAATTCTATTGTGCCTTTTGAGACAAATTTAATGGCTATTGAGGTGATTATGCTAAGTAAAACAAGGAAGTGAAAGACAATACTTGGATGGTTTCATTCATGTAGAATATGAATAGCTTAAATGAACTAAACAATCAACCCAAAGAAACACAACTAAATCTAAGATTAAATGAAAAGATAAGATTTCTATAGAGAAAGGAGAAGAGGATAGAAAAA